AGTACCACAAGGAAGCTGTCTTGGACCGGTCCTTTTCCTATTATACGTGTCTCAACTGTTCCAGATTATTAACAGGCACTTACCTTCTTCCCATGGGTATGCAGATGACACTCAGCTTTATTTATCTTTCCGTCCTGAGTCACCCGTTGTCCAAGACCAAGCTATTCAAACTATTAATAATTGCATCGTCGAAGTTCGTGCTTGGTTAGTTTCACATAAATTAATGTTCAATGACACTAAAACGGAATTCTTGATAATTGGAACTCGCCAGCAGCTGTCTAAGGTTACAATCGACTCGATTGAAGTTGGTGATGCTGATATAAAACCTGTACAAGAAGTCCGAAATCTAGGTTCGTGGTTTGACGAACATACGTCGATGAATGTCCATGTGGGCAAGGTTTGCAGCAAAGCATTTAGGGGCTTGTACAACATCCGACAAATAAGGAAGTTTCTCTCCATCGAATCAACTAAAACGCTCGTACATGCCTTTGTGACGTCACACTTGGACTACTGCAATTCTCTCTTGTTCGGCATTCCCCAATACCAACTTCAGCGTCTTCAACGAGTTCTCAATGCCGCTGCTAGAGTGACGTGTCTTATACCAAGATGTGCTCATATTACCCCTGTCCTGATGCACCTTCACTGGCTGCCTGTCAAGTTTCGCGTTGATTTTAAAATTGCACTTCTGGTATATAAAGCCCTCCACGGGATGGCGCCAGGCTACATTATGGAACTGTTGTTAGAAAAACCGAACTGCTGTTACCAACTGAGATCTGATGATCAGGGACTACTTTTTATCCCAAAAACTAGAGCCAAGACTCTTGGTGATCGAGCATTTGTGCATACAGCTCCGTCAATTTGGAACATGCTACCTTCTGGTATTAGAAATAGTAAAACAATTGACTGTTTTAAATCTCAATTAAAGACTTTCCTTTTTAAGAAAGCTTTCGATTTTAACTTTTAGATTTATAGACACCTATACCTTAATTCTTAATATTTTAGCTACTTGTATATAGTATAACCTCATTGTTGTAAAGCGCTTTGGAATATTTTATATAATTTAAGCGCTGTATAAATCTTTATATATTATTATATATTATTATATTATATGTGGTATATGCAAACTATATCCATTTTATTTAATGGTTTCTTGAGTTAAGTACAAAACAAGTAGACACCTGAGTTACATGTATCATACAAAATTAATAAAACTATCCATGAATGAAAACCGAACCGATCAAAGAAAAACATGTACAAAAATTCATATTGCACGATCATGGAAATGATAATTTTTCATTATAATATAGCATTTGTAAATTCTGAACGCTGATTGGCTAAGAGCCGTGTTGATATAACTCAATGTCAACACGGGAAATTTTCCGCCGCTTGTAAACACGGAAATTTTGCTTATCCTTCGGGCTTTTGACATTGCTATATTATAAAAAAAATATAAAACATTTTTTCCATATTGATATATAGTTATATCAACACTCGTGGAAGTTGGGAAAACTCGAAATTGTATGAAAACACTCCGCCCTTCGGGCGTCGTGTTTCCATACAATTTCTCGTTTTCCCAATTCCACTCGTGTTGATATAACTGTATATCAACACGGAAAATGTTTTATATTTGTTAAATATCACATGATCATAATCAGCCAATTAAGTGACGACAATTTAATAAGGTGTTATAATATAGCATTTGTAAATTCTGAACGCTGATTGGCTAAGAGCCGTGTTGATATAACTCAGGCGGAGTGTTTTCACACAATTTCGAGTTTTCCCAATTTCCACTCGTGTTGATATATAACTGTATATCAACACGGAAAATGTTTTATATTTGTTAAATATAATATATAATGTGTGCAATTGGCTGGTGTGGTCTTGCTTTGTAAGCAGGGTTTTTTTCCGGATTTTCTCTTGGGTCCGTTTTTGCAGAGAAGATTGAATTTAGCTGAACAGCTGGGGTCTTACCAGGAGGTTGAAACCTGTGCCCACTTTAGTGTAGTTGAGATGCAATGTGTTAAAGCAGGGGCACGAAGGGACACTATAAACTGGTTTAAGACGGCGAATGTGTTGTTTTTCTTGTGATGTGAAATGAATTCCAGCCATTTTTTAATTAATTTTCGGGTTTTCAACTGAAAACTAATTTGCACACGTCATGAATTTAACTAAAACAACTTCATTTTACTGCACAAAATCTTTTGATGAGAAGATTGAGTTTCAAAACTCAATTCAAGATTGAGTTTTTGGGGCCGTTTTACGGCCCTAAAAAATCCCTGAAAAAAACCTTGGTAAGGCTATAGTATTTGATATGGTATAGTATTTACGTATAACTATCAAAACGCACAACAGATTATTTATTCATGATGGTGTTTTGTTTTTCCCTTGCAGACAAGCTCCAAACTGAAAGGCACTATAAAAAACAAAGTAAAACTCGTACAAGGGAAGAGAATGGCAAAAAAATCTAAGAAATCTAAGACAAGAAAAACAAAGAACACAACGTAACTAAACAACTTACAGTTACTTAGTTCATTATATTGGTTTTAAATTAGACAGTCAGGACACTATGTAGGTATGGTTTGGGACGAAACAATTATTGTAAGTCGCTAGTATTTGAATTTTGAAGCATTAAATGTGATTTGTTTGATAGTTTAGTATTCTTGTACTGTATGTTATTTTTTAATTGATTTAACATTAGTTTAAAATAAATCTTTTTTTCATTGTATTAATGAATTTGGACTGGAGACGTCTATGGATTCTTTATTAACTGAATGAACAGCCAAAACTGCACTAATCTACTGAGCCTACAAAGCAAGTTTCATTTTTACAGTGTAACCTCCATATAACGGACATCTTCATGACCGTAGCGATTGGGGGTGTGCGGGTCATCCCAATATTTGTTGAGTCGAGTAATTTCAGCTAAATTTATAGGCGAGTTAGACTGATATTCAGACAAATTATAAGAGCAAATCTTATTTCCATTTCCGGACACTCTGAGAGTCTGAATATTCAAATTTCTCAGGGAAGCGTTCCCCCGAACCCCCTAGTGGATTTAGCTCCGTATCCCCATTCCACCGAATACAGTAAAAACACATTTAATATTTTGATACTGGAAGAAAGTATTTTGTGAAGCCACTTTGTGCTGTATGAAATGTCACTACGGGTTAAAACGGTCAGTAATTAGACTTTACTGTTTATTGCACTAAGCCTCAATGGCCTTGTTTTCAGGTTTGTCTGCTGTGCACGACCATTGAGGCAAGAGTGACTAAACTGTTGTCTATTGAAATTCCGGATGCATGGTTGTACACGATAAACAGTGTCAGGGATAAACAGCGTCAGATATCAAGGATAAACGGTGTTAATGTATAAGCGATAGACACTTGCACACCCGAATTTGCTGCCTGCCAATGAAAAAGTACGTGGTGTTTCAACAAAATAATTATACAATGGATTACATTGTCGGCCTCGATTTCAAGTTATTGTTTCGTGCGCACTAAAGCAAAT